AAGTAACTAAGACTTCTTTTGTGCCATTTACAACAAAGAGAAGCTGACTGATTGCACCTCTGCAGGGGTAAATGATCCTAACATCACTGGGCAAATAAATAAATTAACAAATAAAAATGAGTCGTCTGAAGCAAATGCAAACATTTTTCTCGATAATAGTCCAACATAAATCTATCCCTATACCCTATTACCACCTAAATAGAAGCTGAAGACACGTCTCACTTCAAATCATTCTTCCCTGTGCCTCGGTGTCGTGACAGGCAGTTCAAATTGATATGTTTTGCCTGCTTTGTGGTTTTGCCCTCTGAAAGACTTAAAGCAGCAATAACCTGTTTCTGCTGCTGACTAATTGGCTGCCTGGCAAACAGGCTGGTGGATAACTTTTGTCTTTCCTTGCTGTCCCACAGAGAGCAGCGTCCTGCAGAGCCCCGTCTTTACCAAGCAACCTGGCAGCATCGTGTATCCTGTGGAGAATGTGGAGAAAAACCGAGAGGTGGTGTTCAGCTGCGAGGCCGAGGGAAGCCCAACTCCCATGTACCGGTGAGTGCGTGACTGCAGTCCTTTATCTCGCTCTTCCTCCTCTCCCCGTTGATGCTGCATGCTTTTATACAAGTGACAGTCTCAACATCTTTCAATTTTTTGACATCATGTCGCGGACGAATGTCTCCATTTTGTCTTCAGCAGTCCCCCGTCGCATTTCTGCAGCTGAAAATGCCACTGAGAGAGGACTGTGGCAAAACTCAAATGCCCACAAATCCTGCAGCACACTTGCATTTCTGTACAGAACAGTCACCCGAATCTTCGCGCTAAAAGGCAGTTTGCTTTTTGTTAACACCTGTTATCTCCATGTCTCCCCTCTTCGTAGAACCGTTATTTAGTCTGTGGACATTTGATCTTTTTCCTGATAATAATATATTTTTTACAGAAAGTGCAATATATCCTTCTTCTTACTGCTTTGAATCAAAGCTGTTTGTTTCTGGGGTACAAAGATGTGATGTTCAGGGTAGGAACCCATAAATAAAAAGAGAAAAAGGTCTAATCTCATAACATTTTGTCAATTTGGCAGTGATAGTGACGCCTTTTAAAAGTACAAATCAAATAATCACACGTGAAAAATTCCAAAGGCTCAACTGATGAGGAAATCATTACACGAGACTTATAAACAATACAACATATAAGGTCTATAAGATGTATAATTATTTGTTACTGGAGGTGATGAAAAAATTCTCATCGGTTTATTTCTTTTGTGTATGGGGTTTCAGTTGGGTGCTCTACTAAGGCCACCAG